TTTCCTCTTGTCATCGATTCAGCTTCCTGGCCGAAAAGATGCGTCGACCACACCTCAACTCTGCATTAACGAAGCCTTTGACTCCACTTTTTTCTCTGCAGCCTGTTTTTCGAACGTGACCTTGATAACTAACAGATATACGTTCTAGTTACCTTGTTGGACTAGGTTAAGATGTAGCTCTTTACAAAGCCCCTTTCAGGGATGCGAGATCTGTATCGCATCAGTAGTTCTGTCACCGAGATGCAGCTTGACCCAACTTCTCCCCTTAGGGATATGGTAGCATATTGCACGCTCTTTTTAAAAAAGACACTTCTACATCGCTGTCAGCCTTCGTGGACCAAGTCCTATCTTCATAATTTATCTAATTTTTCTGGAAGAAGTGCTTTACTTTATTCCTGAACTCACACCGAGTAATTGTTGATCTTATTCCTACTACTCTACTTTTCCAATTATACAATGGACTAAAAACTTTATATGCTTATCTACTTAAACTGCAGCAGAAAATGAAGAGGTTCAAGAGAGACTGTGGCCAAAAATTTTGACTCGTAGACGTTCTCCGCCTCACGTCAAGTTCACTAACGCGCATATGCTCAGACAAATTTGTCCGCGCACTTCAACGCAGTGCAAGCACGCTGCATAAGGGTGGCAGCACATCCACACGCACGCGCACCTACTCGCAAAAAAGAGGGCGAGACAGGAGAAGACGTGTGAGGTGTGTGTACAACCATGTGTGTGCGTTGAAGAAGAACTAAGACAGCAGAAGAGGGTAAAAAGCGCGGGAGTAAGAAAGAAAAGCGTGCGTCTGTGTGTGCGGATGTGTGTATATGAACGTCACGCTTCCACCGCGTGCAGGCGTCTTCTCATAGGCGCAGACGGCGCGAACCAATCATGGCGTGGGATTAGTAGTCTGTCGGTCCACCATTGGTGAATCGGCCGCAGCACAGCTGCGAGACTTGCGTGCACACGCGTGATGGATGTGCGTCAGTGTGTGTGCGTGTCAGACAGCCCTGTCTACACCCCGGCTGTGTGTGTGCGCACGACTTTCCTTCTCGGTTGCACGCACATACGCACGTACGCGTGTGCACACGAGGTTTTGACAAATGCTGCTTAACCAGTAGTAGACACACACACACGCATACGCGGCGCATCACTTCAGCGCAAGTCATCTATCAACGCGGGTGTGTGTGTGTGTGTGATAGTTTGCGCTTTTGACAGCTAACCGACGTCGTTGTCTTGGTCTTCGTCGTCAACCTCTCTCCGTGTGTATGTGTGCATGTCTGTGTACACACGCGTCTGTGTGACAGGTCGAAGTGAGATCGTACTGTGGATATCCTAGTCAGACAGAGAACTAGCGAGCAAACGAGCGAGCGGAGACAATTGTCGCGTGATTGATTTACATGTTTACAGATTCCTAGTAGTCAATTCCTTTGTCACAGTCATCAATCAACCTGCGAAACCGCTCCCTCCCTTCCTCTCACCAGTTTTCTCGACTGCCTAAACGACTGCAACAATTACGAAAACGGCTACTGCTCTAACATGCCGGAATCCATTGGGAGCGCAGGTGGAGGTACGGGAGGTGCTAGTAGCAATGGAAACATGGACAATTCCCAAGGCCTTGAGGTACGTGCCTCATTTTAGTCGCCAAACCGAGGATAGAGCGTTTCATTTATGATCATAGTCGCCTAAAGCTACAACCTTGTCCTTTGTCTGCTTAGTCTAATTTTGCACTAAACCGCTTGCCTAGAGAAGGGTAAGACAGCGTTATTAGAAAGTGGTAAGATTTTAAGGGTAGGAAAGATTCGCTGAGTGCTTGTGCATGCTGTCTGCAGACACAATGGTAAACTTCATTCGTTTATGAGGCTTGAATTAAAGTAGATGATGAGGAGTCAATATCAGACTATCCTAGGGCCGAGTTTGTGGAGAATGATAAGGGACAGTCGTTTTAATCTTTCCATTCCATTGGGTCAGTGATTATTTCTCATGCTTTTTGAGGTTGCGTGCTTTCGATGATATTAATCATTCGACCACGATTCATACAATCACATCACGAACTTACGTCAACGGTACTTCCTTTTGATGATTTACCTCAGCCTATTCCATTGTGATGCATTCCACTTGCATTAAAATGCACGTCCTTCTGGTGTAGCAGCATGATTTACTGTTTCTCCTTAAGTTTTCTGTACAAAAGTTTTAAAGGGACTTTGAGTCCTCTGCATAGTACGGACGTTTCCAATTCGGGGCTGAGCCTAGCCAGTAGATAGTCGTGCAAGTCCATGGGGGAAATTTATGGGCCTTTGTTCTACCGGTCGGCTCCTGAGGGAGAGAGGGACACGGACATGCTAAGCCATTGAGAGACCTTCTCATTGGTGCAGTAGACTCATCATACATCAAACTCGCCCGGAAGAAGCGAAATATGTCCATGATTCGCGCGATCGTCTTAAATCATCACAAGGTTAGTGGACTGACACTTTTGGATGGCGGTCAAAAGAGAAGTGACTATCACGACACTCTTCTGTCAATAGCACACTTTGATGGTTCATTTAGTTTATTTTATTAACCAACCTGCTGCTGCCACTGTTGCTGCGCAGTTGGCCAGTTTGAGGAGGGACTGATGTTTTGTTGGTCGTTTCCAGCTAGTTCTCCTGTCACGCATATGTACACATTCTCTCTCGTCCACATGAATTTATTACTGCTGCTACCGCAAGAGGCTTTTTGCCCTTCCATTGCGTGTCTGGCTTTTTGTTCCTCCACCATGCTCTCGCTGACTGATCTCTCCAAGTTCGTTGGGGAATAGAGAGAATGTTTCACCTCATGTCGCGAAAACGCTTGTCAGTTTTTTCCCTTAGTAAATACTTGCGTAATTACATAGAAGTCATGTTTCTACGCGGTTTATGAAAGATGCTAGGACATAAGAGTATTTTACCTTTGACAGTTGACATTCTTCACGAGGATAGAAACGACCGAAACGCTGGGTTAGATCGTCTTACATACTTGTAGAAGGAAGTGGCGGTTTGACTAAATACAGAACTCTTTGAGAAGCCCCTTTTATCCATGCATATAACTTTCAGCCCATTGTCTCTATGTGGGACTCGGGAGCTTTATGAATCCAACCCATCCTCCGTGCCGTTTTGACGAAAATAGTTAGCTCTTCATTTGCAAATTCTGCATTTTGGAACTATTCTTCATGTCAATGGCCTCTTATCGCTCCCTTCAGATTAACATAAAAGAACATTTTAAAGTCATGTTTCTGGTTTTTCGTGTTAACATCATTAAATTACATTAATAAGAATCAAAATCACATTTTATTTATATGTAAGTGGCGAAATCTTTTTAACCGAGGAAGTGAAAACTATTTCTATGGGGAATGAGTTTATGTTTTCGCTATGAAGTCCCAGTTGGACGTTTCTCACCTTGAATCGCAATGAATTTTCTCTTCAAGGACTCAATCTGCAGACGTTTTGTCCGCACAAATGGATGCCTTCCTTTTTTTAACCCAAAAATGTCCTCGTCATAGTAATCAACCTATCCTGCTTGTGTATACTAAACGAGACTGTTTTCGACATTGTCGGCAAAGTCCATTTGTGGCTTTTTTCC